ACTAAGAGAGCATCTCAATAAACCCAAGGGAAGGGGACAATCTCACCTACCAGGAAGCAAATCCTTGTTGGATCCATATAATTAATGTTTGTAACTCATAAAAAACGTTACCTGATAGAGAAGGGGACAAGACAAATGAAAGAAAGGAACAAGAATGTTACCGGTAATGCAAGATTGGAATATTTACAAGATTAGGGAAAACAAAATTAAGTTGGAAAATTATCCTACAAATACCACTTTTAAGCCATTCTTAATTACATAATCCGTAAATATCATACTACAAAAAAAAAAAATATATGCAAGGGAAAATAAAGATAGGACCAGTAGGAAACCGTGATCCCAAAACCGCAACAATGGTTGGTTGGGACGAAGGAAGTCACAATGGCCTCCTCTCTCAGATTTTTATATCTCATGGTGGTGCCAAAGGAATTTTTTCTATCCAATTCCAGTTCATGCTCGACGACGACAAGTTCGTCTTATCCGACCAGCACGGCTCGAATTTTGGCGACAAGTTTGATGTCGTAAGTTTGTTTTACTATTTTAATTATGTTTAAAATTTCATACATCTTTAGAAAAATCACTAGCTTACAAGTCGGTTCGAACATAGTATTACTAATTAAAAATGTGATTTGGGGCCACAGATAACTTTGAACTGCCCACATGAGTACATTACTGGAATCAGTGGAGAGTATTCCACGCACATACATGGCGGTGAGAGCCCTCACATATGTTCTCTCAAAGTTGCTACCAACACCAGTGAGTATGGTCCTTTTGGCTCTTTGACAGATTACCACCAAAAGTTTGAATTCAAACTGGGGAAATATTCCCAGTTTGGCGGTTTTCACGGGACATACGATGTTTGGGGACTACAGCATATCGGTGTTTATCTTCAACCAACAAATGTTAGACCTAAAAGCAAACCTAAAACCGGCACCAACAATGCAAAGGAAACAGAATCAACAATAGTTTTAGGTTGATTAATTGATTGTTGATGTATGCATGTTTGTATTCTAAACCTTCTTCAGTTCTTCTACACATTAATACAAACATACAATAAAGGAAACATGCATCAACAATATGTTTGTATACTAAACCTTCTTCACTTCTTCTACACAGTTTACATGGTTTGTATTTCAAAATGTTTTTATGAATAAAATTTATTGACGTGTGCCTTT